AAAAAATTAATTAAATGGCTTCTTTAAATAATATTTTTATTGTTCTATTTTTATTTTTAAATTTATTTATATTATTTAAACCAATTAATTGCTGTCTTCAAGAGAATGAAATCAATTGTAATAATAAGGATAATAAATGCTGTCGTGGTTTAAATTGTAAAACAAAAGCTACTGGCGGTTCATTTTGTGGACGTTACAATTGTGTTAGACAAGGTGGGCACTGCGATATATCAAAAGAATGGCTGTATTGTTGTCTTGGATCTTTTTGTTCTCAAAATACAAATAAATGTGAAACGTGTTTGAAGGAATTCGATCTTTGTGGTAATGATGGTAATCCTTTTAAATGTTGTGATGGTCTGGAATGTAGTAATTATGGAGAAAAATCATTTGGCTATTGTGCTAAAAAAATTTAGAAATTAATGACTAAATGTTAACAATCTTTGGTGATAATTCTATCCCTTTCTCTTTTAATATTTAAATAATTTTCTTTCCTTTTTTGTGATTTTCTTCCTTTCATCTTTATTGTAGTATCCTGCCGGCACTAAAAATAACTTCCAAATTTCGGGAATTGCGATGGGAGGATCATTGAATTTAAATAAATATGATTTGTATTGAATAAAATAATCAAATTTTGGTGTTACGACAATTGCTGTTAACAATTTCGGATCTGACATAAACCAAGGGCAATAAATTTTATTTTAAAAAAGATAGTAAACTACCTATTTTTAAATTAAATTTACACCCGTACCCCGAAATACCCGACTCCGAGCGTTGGATCTAGATTTTTACTAGAGTGTTTATACTTTCTTAATAGAGATCGGAACGAGGATGTAGTATGTCTAACTAAATATAATTTTTATTGAATAAAATAAATCTTGCTTTATTTTACGCTTCAGAAACGATGATTTTTGAAACTGATATTTATTTAATTTTAAAAAATTTATTTTTGAATTTTGCCTTCCTCGTGATTTTTGGTAAAAACAAACGTATTTACTTAAATTCTATTTAATATTAGCATTCTAAATTTAGATTTCCAATACCTTTAATTTCATTTATTTATTCAAGATAACCCCCATTTTACAGCAAATCCAACTTCAACTTTTACCTCCTTCCTTTAAGCCACTTTTCATGTGCCATTCAGCTTCTACGGGAAAATAGTAATGGTTCTCTAGCTTTATTCGTTTTCTCTCTATAAAAATTAATTTTACTCAAAACTCTTTTGTAGTTCGTAAAAATTGGCAAAATCAAAAGTCACTTAACAGGTAGATTTTGGATTTACGGTGGAAACGTACGCATTCATTCACGAAATTCTAAATGTGGATTTCTAATCCTTTTTGTTTGCATTTATTTGCTTAAATGATCAGTTCCAACTTTTACCTCCTCCTTTTAAGTCAATTTTCACGGCTTCGCTAAGTGGCAACCACTTGCGAATTAATTATGTTTGTTTAAAACTCAATAGTAGTTTGTAGATTGAGATTGATCTTTACATTACACGCCTTATATGAGCTATATATAAAATGCTGGTAAAGGCTAGCAATACACATATCATTTTAATTATTTTAATTAATATCCAATATATCGAAAATAATACTTCCCTTGATACACATCCAAAATTTGTTTAAAAGTGTGGATATCAGAAATTTTGGAGGTATTGTATACGATGTTTATGCTGTGGAAAAATTCATTGGATGGGAGGTGGAATTGAACCATCATGGAATGAGCCCAAACCGAAGCACAACCGACTGTGCCACCATCCAACCCGATGAAGGGTTATTTATTTTTATTTATATTCATTCTGCAAGTGCGGACACAACAGGAGGGATATTTCTCTCCTTTGGAGAGAAATATGTCTATTTTTTGATGTCTCCGAAATTCTTTCACAAAAGCATGGAGATCGGGGGATTTGTGGGGATTAGGGAGGATATCAGATGATTTATATGGATCTATGGACTCAACCCACCCCAAGTTCGGCCCAGTTTTCAAGTTCTATCGAACTACACCATATATAAAATCAAGGGAAAAAGTGTACTAAAAATAAGAATTTTCAGAAAAAAGAATTAATTAAATGGCTTCTTTAAATAATATTATTCTTGTCCTATTTTTATTCCTAAATTTATTTATATTATTTAAACCAATTAATTGTTGTCTTCAAACGAATGAAATCAATTGTAACAATAATGACAAAAAATGCTGTAGTTCTCTAAATTGTAAAACTAAACCTTTTGGCGGTTCATCGTGTAGACCTTACAATTGTGCTAAGCAAGGTGAGCAATGCGATATATCACAAGAATGGTACTCTTGTTGTTATGGATCTTTTTGCTCTCATAATACAAAAAAATGTGAAACGTGTTTGAAGAAAGGCGATCCATGTGGTAATAATGATAATATTTTTAAATGTTGTGGTGGTCTGGTATGTAAAAATTTCGGAGCAACATATAACACTTGCAGTGACTGAATATTAACAATCTTTGTGGATAATTCTATTCTTTTTCTTCTGGGTTAGGGTCGTTTTGGCGCCGGGCCGTTTTGGCGCGAGAACAAAAAAGTGGCACTTGGGCTAGACCTAACTTAATAAAAATTTTCTTAAATTTCTTTAACATCCTTGACTACCTGCTCCAGAAATTTCAGAATTCTTTATCAAATATTTCTGAAGTTATAGTCGATGAACCGCGAAAAATTAGTGTTTTTTCGGAAAATCAACATTTTAGGCCACAACTTCCGAAATTCTTGATCAAAAATTCTGAAATTTTTGGCTAACGTAGATAAAGGCATGAGAGTTATTATTGCAAAATTTTATCATTTTTTGATAAGCAACTCACTGTTTTATAAGCCTGCGCCCTAATGGCCCCGCGCCCTAATGGCCCAGTCCCTCTTTTCACTAATTAAATAATTTTCTTTCCTATTTTTGTGGTTTTCATCCTTACATTTTTATTGGAGTATTTACTTGGGATCCTGCCGGTACAAAAAATATTTTTCAAAATTTCGGGAGTCGGAACGGCATAATCCTTGAATTTTTATTCTTTCTTAACTATAAATCAAAAAAACTTTTCTTTTTTTACATTGGAGCTAAACAAGTTAAAAATAAATATAATTTGTGTTGAATAAAATAATTAAGGTGATTCGAAATTGATGATTATCTTCCTTTTCCTGCGCCGCAGACGAAAATTTTGAGAATTTTGGAAGGCCGTATGCCAAAAAAATTTACTTTTTTAGCGCCGCAGGCGAAAATTTTGAGGATCTTAGGTGGCCAAGCACTAAGTTCAAAAAGGTCAAAAAACCAAGACCAAAAAATAAAACCAAGACATGACCAAGACAAACACCCCAAGACCAAGACCGAAAAAAACCAAGAAAAGTCTTGGTTCCAAGACCAAGACCAAGAGTCTCGGACATCTCTAATAGGTATAATGTAACTATTTCTAGATTCTTTATTTAGTCCATTCTTGCAAACTAAAAACTCTTCCTTGTGGCCGAAATATGTATATAGCTATTGTTCTTAATATAATTAGGGGTCGTCATACAATTTCGTATGAACCTTGCTAATTTTTGGATATAATCTCGCAAGATCCTACTACTAGGGCCTCGACGAAGCTCTTGATGATGACTCGCAATTGTGTAAAGCATATAGCTATTTAATTCCTAAGGCTGTGCAGGGCGGCGTGGTGTAATGGCTAACACATCAGTCCGGTCTACTGAAGATGCTGGTTCGCTCCCAGCCGCCGCTTAGCCTTTTGCACTAGCTAAAGGAGAGAAATAGCTATAGCCCAGCTGCTTTACTATTGTATACATAGTTTTATTCGCTAACAAAAATTTAGAAGTTGTCAAAAGAGGTAGTCCCTTAACCTTGAAGGGAGTAATGGGTTTTTAACTTAACCTTTGAGCTATTAAGGGGGATTTGGAGGGATATCGTATGATTTAGGAGATATCAGTAGATGTTCCATTTCAAAAAAAGATTTTCATTTTTAAATAATTTCTCTCTAGTCTAATGGAAAATTTTGAAATTTTAAAGAAAAATTCGTTATGACTTGCTGCAAATCAGATTTGATGATTATCTATTCGTATATCAGGATATTCGTGGGTATCCGGATCAGAGCTGGGGGCAATTGAAAAAAAGACTCCGCAACTCGTAATTGCAAAACCCCACGCAATTTACGCAATCCGCAACTCTCGCAGTCCTGATCCGGATATTATTTGTGCATGTCGGTTTTATTTAATTTTTTTCAGCTCGATTCCAATTATTTCAAAAAATGTTAGTTTAAATTGTACTAAATTAATTTTAAAAAAATTTTTTGTGAGAAGTGGAGTGATTTTGAAAAAAATATTCTTTTTGGGGAGATACTCACGAGAGTAATACACAATTCTGAGTCACCCTTAGAAAAATTGGAAAAAATTCCCGGAACCTTAACTTTCAATGAATTGGTTGGCTAACATTCTTTCTAATTTTCCTTGTTAAATTAAGAAAGCAATTAGCATTGAAATGAAACGAATTAAATTTGTGCACAAAAATAATTTAAATTGGAGTTATTAAAAAGGCGACACGCCCAAGCGCACGGCCAAGTACCATAACTAGCTGGAAAATTTCTGGCCCGTGACAATTTTAGTACCAATCTCTTCAGCTTGATGAGAGGAATCGTTTAATACTAAATTTGGTAAGATTCGAAAACTTTGAAGCAAGTTATGGCTTAGCGCCTACTTGGCAGCACGCCTACTTGGGCTGTACCCATTAATGGATGATACTCTAAAAATAAAAAAAAAATTTTTTTATTTAGATAACGATCATTGCTAAATTCCGGCCCAAAATTTGCTTATTTAAAGGGGCTACTCACCCCCACAAATAAAAATTTTAAGCACTCAAAAATGTTGACTAAAAATAAATTTTCCTTCCCTCTAATTTTATTTTTCACCATTTATTTATTTTTCTGTTTAAATTGGAATTTTGTTGAATCAAAAAATTTGGAAAGCCGAAATCTTGAAATTTCAAAAACAAAACAATTTTAAACAAAGGAGGAAGAAAATTTAATTTTAATAAAACTGAGAAGCTAAATTCGAGAAAAAATGGGGACGAATTTTTTGTTGATTTTGCTATGATTCTTTACGATGGTGTTTATAATAGTTGTAATCCTGAGATGTCTGAACAGCTGTATTCTAAAAATTTTTGTTATGATGAAGAAAAATATTTTCAAAATTATTGCGATTTGGATAAGATGAGTAAACCGATTAATGCTACATTTGATGTAAGTCAACCTTCAAACGGATGGATTAAGGGTTATTTGAGAGGATATCAGTGGATATGAAGAGATAGAGATATAAGGGTATTTAGAGGGATATCTGATAATTAAGAGGATATTGGTGGGTTCAGAAAGATTAATTCAGCTCCAAATCCCCAATTAGAGATTGAGATTTTTGAAAAGCCTGAGTCTGTTCCTGGACTCTGGGTTTGATTTATTGACCTGGGCCGGATCCTGGGCATGTGTCTAGGAAAAACCCAAAAAGTCAACAAATGTCTGGGTCTGAACTCTAGATACTTATAATCAGAGGTGGGTCGGAACAGTCAGAGGTGTCGGAAATTGGAAGAGCCGGAAATCGGAAATGGGCCAAAAGTCGGAACTCGGAAATCGGAAATCAAAATTTTTTTCCGGAAATCGTAAGAAAAAAAACGTCGGAAATCAGAAGTCGTACATCAGAATTCCGACACACCTCTGCTTATAATCGAGATTCTTCTGTACACATTTCAAATTAAGGAGGCGAAGTTTGATAAAGCTTTTATTTTTGTTGATAAACTTGTTGACAATAAAGGAGAAACACTTGTAAATGTCGGGAAGACTTCTGAATTCATTCTCAATTATTATTGGCATGCCAGAACTCTAACAGGGAGTTCTAAAAATATTGGAAAAATTGCAACAGCTTTAAATGCTCAGTTTGATGATAAAACTAAATTTTATTATTTTAATGAAAAATGTACTGATCTTAAATCTGATGGAAAATCAAATATTGGCCTAAAATTTGAAAATTCCAATACATTTTATGTTTCTGGAAAAGATGTAGCAGACTTTACTGTAAGTAAATAAATATTTATCTCTGTGAGGAAGGAAATATCGGTTTAATCTTTATGATGATTACTCTATTAGAATGCCCTCCTCCATTAGACTATATACTCTATTAGAATGCCCCTCCCCTCCATTAGAATGCCCTCTCCAATGGAGATGGTGTTTACGATGGTGTTTATAATAGTTGTAATCCTGAGATGTCTGAACAGCTGTATTCTAAAAATTTTTGTTATGATGAAGAGAAATATTTTCAAAATTATTGCGATTTGGATAAGATGAGTAAACCGATTAATGCAACATTTGATGTAAGTCAACCTTCAAACGGATGGATTAAGGGTTATTTGAGAGGATATCAGTGGATATCAGAGGTGGGTCGGAATTCCGATTTCAGACTTCCGATTTCCAAAAAAACTTGATTTCCGATTTCCGAGTTCCGACTTTTGAGCCAGTTCCGATTTCCGGCTCTTCCGATTTCCGACACCTTTGACTGTTCCGACCCACCTCTGGTGGATATGAAGAGATATGCATATAAGGGTATTTAGAGGGATATCGGATCATTAAAGGGATATCGGTGGGTTTAGAAAGATTAAGTCACCCCGAAATCCCCAATTAGAGATTGAGATTTTTGAAAAGCCTGAGTCTGTTCCTGGAGTGTGATTAATTGACCTGGGCCGGATCCTGAGTCTTTATTCCAGGAAAAACCCAAGGTCAAAAAATGTCTGGGTCTGAACTCTGGATACAGAAAAAACCCAGGCCTTGGTCCAGACCCAGGCCGATCTCTATTCACTACTAGCTCCCGTATGAAAAAAATTTTTGTGTATTTGCCGTACCGTATCCCGTACCTAGTACAGTTCTACGTTTGATATAACGAAATTAATCTTAAATGTCGATAGCAACTTATAATCAGAGGTGGGTCGGAACAGTCAGTGGTGTCTGAAATCGGAAGAGCCGGAAATCGTAAATGGGTCAAAAGTCGGAACTCGGAAATCGGAAATCAAAATTTTTTTCGGAAATCAGAAGGAAAAAAACGTCGGAAATCGGAAGTCGTACATCAGAATTCCGACCCACCTCTGGTTATAATCAAGATTCTTCTGTATATATTTCAAATTAAGGAGACGAAGTTTGATAGAGCTTTTATTTTTGTTGATAAGCTCGTTGATAATAAAGGAGAAACACTTGTAAATGTAGGGAAGACTTCTGAATTCATTCTCAATTATTATTGGCATGCCAGAACTCTAACAGGGAGTTCCAAAAATATTGGAAAAATTGCAAAGGCTTTAAATGCCCAGTTTGATGATAAAACTAAATTTTATTATTTTAATGAAAAATGTACTGATCTTAAATCTGATGGAAAATCAAATATTGGCCTAAAATTTGAAAATTCCAATACATTTTATGTTTCTGGAAAAGATGTAGCAGACTTTACTGTAAGTAAATAAATATTTATCTCTGTGAGGAAGGAAATATCGGTTTAATCTTTATGATGATTACTCTATTAGAATGCCCTCCTCCATTAGACTATATACTCTATTAGAATGCCCCTCCCCTCCATTAGAATGCCCTCTCCATCAGACATGCACGAAACTCCAAAATTTTTTCAGACGAAACGAAACGAAACAAAATTTTTTAAAAATCGTTTCGTTAACGAAACGAGACGAAACAGTAAAAATTTAGCGAAACGAAACGAAACAAAACGAAACATTTTAATTTTCAAAAAATTTAATAAAAACGGTTTTATTTTTTTAATTATTTTATTTTAGGCACGTTAATATGTCAGTTATGGCCTATATATAATCTCATAGCTTTGTAGGACCTTAAATTGTGGTCCCAGGCTCCAAAATTTACGCGTGTTACCCTCTTTATCCACTATATCAGCCTTAATTCCGGCAAATCGACTACTATCGAATTATGTGTTGGGAAAAGGTGTAAATCAGGGATCCTGCCGTTTCTAAAATCAGCACAAAATTTTGTAGGAAATTACTATTCCCGAAACCCGCTCCGGATTCCCGACAATTTTTTTAATTTAAATTTTTTCAACCCTCCAAATCCACTGATATCCGTTTACTCTCCTAATTTACTATACCACCATTTCTCTCGCCAAATCCCCTGATATTCCTCTACTCAGTCAGATTTTTTGTTAATTAACAACGTTCATGATTAGGGTTGGCAAAATGGACCGACTCGGATTTGGCCCGAAAAAGACTCGTACTGGCGCGACTCGAAAACGGCAACCCTATTCATGATCATTTGTCCCGTTTATTGAAATTGAAATTTTAAATTCAATTCTCTTGCGCCCGACCCTGATTGGCAAGAGGTAGACCCTTTCTATATGTCTAATCTGGCATGGAATTCGAACTTTGCGTATTAAAAAACATAAAATTAAACGGTAAATTCTAAAAAAATATAGTAAATTATGCGCCGTAGGCGCTTAAAATCAAGATTTCTTCGCCGCAGGCAAAAATTTTTTAAATTTTCATCACCAAAGGGGAATTTTTTTCAGTTTTTGGGTAATATTTTGGGCTAGAAAATTGGTAATGTTTCGTTAACGAAACACAGGTGTTTCGTTAACAAAACGAAACGAAACAAATTAAAAACTGTTTCGTCACGAAACGAGACGAAACAGAAAAAAACATAACGAAACTAACGAAACAACGAAACGAAACGAAACGTTTCGTGCATGTCTGCTCTCCATTAGAATGCTAGAGAATACCAAAAGGGCATTCTATTAGAGGGGGCATTCTAATGGAGAGGAGCATTCCATTAGAGGGGGCATTTTATTAGAGGTGGCATTCCATTAGAGGTGGCATTCCATTAGAGGGGGCATTCTAATAGAGGGAGGCATTTTAATGTAGGGGGACATTCTAATAGAGTATTTAGGGTATTTAAAAATAAACAGAAAAATTCTTTTACCAATTATGTATCTTTTAAAGTTCAATAACAATACTAAATGTAGACTTGGACTGACTGATGATGGATCAGACCTATTAACATTTTCAATACAAATTCTCCATAATTATTGTTTTTTATTTGATACTTTATTGAAACAAATAGCTTTTGCACCTAAAGTGGTAAAACAAGAAGATATGGAATGGATTTATTGTTATTAAAGAGATACACAAAAGATTTGAAATTTAAGTAGTAAATGTCATTATAATGTTAATTTATTTTGAAAAATAAAGAAATGCTTATCAGTAGCCGTGTATAGACATGCTATGACACTTGCAGATCAGGGCTGGGCTGAATAAAATTTTCGGGCGTGAATCGAAACGAAATAAAAAAATTCCGATTTCGTTTCGTTTCAGAGTGTCAAGAAACGAAAAAGAGAAATAAGAGCAAGAAAGAATGAAACAAAACGAAATTTCGCCCAGACCTATTGCGAACCGACACTTGAAAATTTTGGACTGACATTTTAAACTAGACATTCGAGACAGTTTTTGACTCAAAAATGCTCTCAAATGTCGGTCCGTAAATGCCGAAATACAATAGAAAACGACAAGTTTTTCAGCACTTAAAAATTTATTGAAAATTAAAGTTCAACTGTAAGGTTATCGGCAGTGCTTATAAATTTCAATTTTGCTCATATTCGTACTTCAGACTTGCTTTTTTGGCCTCGTACCTCGTAACCGGATTTCGTACCAAAGTATGAGTACGAATTTTTGTTTAAGAACTAGCAAAGCACAAATAGAAATTTTCTAACTAATTTTATTTTAAAATGAGTAATTTAAAAGGGAGTTCTCTAAAAAATATTAATTAGATAACGACCAATTTTCTCCCAAAATTTTTTTTAATAAAATAGCATGATAACATTTCCTTCACAATTAGTGTTAAAATTTAATATTTAAAGAAGCTACTCATCTCCAAAAAATTAAATTAAAACACACAAAAATGTTGATTAAAAATAAATTTTCCTTCCCTCTAATTTTATTTTTTTCCATTTATTTATTTTTCTGTTTAAATTGGAATTTTGTTGAATCGAAAAATTTGGAAAGCCGAAATCTTGAAACTTTAAAAATTAAAGAAATTTTAAACTTAGGAGGAAGAAAATTTAATTTTAATAAAACTGAGAAGCTAAATTCGAGAAAAAATGGGGACGAATTTTTTGTTGATTTTGCTTTGGCTGTTTATGATTATGTTATTTATTACGAAGGTTATGAAGTATTGGATTATATAAATTTTTGTTATGAAGAGGAAAAATATTTTAAAAATTATTGCGATTTGGATAAGATGAGTGAACCGATTAATGCTAC